ATTTGAATAAATTCTCTTTAAACTACATTCTGAGCTAGTGACATAGCAAGACTCCACCTCTAAAATTTTTTCTTCATTAGCTAGGTGTAGGGGTGCATATCTGTAGTCCCAGCTACTCAGGAGGCTAAGGTGGGATGATTGCACCACTGCACTCTAGCCTGAGTGACAGAGTGAGACCCTGTCTCTAAAAACAAACAAACAAACAAACAACAACAAAAAGACTGCATGCTGACTCTTTTGATTATTCTATGTTGACATGTTGATGGACATTTGAGGTGTCTCTATCTTTTGGCTATTGTGAATAAGATTGCTATGAACATGGGTGTTGGCCTCATTACTTTTTCTTCAATCTGCCCTGCGCACTTCCACATGAGGACTTCGCAGTGGCTGTTCCCTCTGCCTGGAATGCTGTTCTCCAAGGGATCCACATGGCTCACTTTCTTCAAGTCTTTGCTCAAATGGTGCCTTCTCAATGAGGCCTACCCTGACCGCACTATAAGTTCTGCAACCTGGCACTCCTTGTTCTCTTTACTCTGTTTTTTTCTACAGCACTTACCACTTTCTAATGTGCTATATAATATTCTTATTTAGTATATTAATTGTTTAGGATCTGTGTCTCTCCATGAGAATGTCAACTCCCTGAGGGCAAGGATCAATGTCTGTTTTGTTTATCTCAGGCACTCATGTAGGTAGGTGCTTAATACATAGTTTGTTGAATGAACCTAAAATCACAAGCCTAAGTCATTTGCTGAGTTATAGATTTTAAAGCGGAGTTCGAGACGAATGTGTTAGATGTTCTAACATGCCAAACTCTCTTAAATCCCTCAAATACTTAAAATACCATATACACACAGATTGTTTCAAATCTGGGTTAAAATTGAGCTTAACTTCTCAACTGGCTGAAAGTGCATATCTCTGAAGATGTAGGTCAGGGAATGAGATCTGAAGCTGCAGACAACCAGCGTGACTTTTTCTCATGACCTGAGGACCATGCTGTGCTCTTGATTGTCCTTCTCCCTGCACATAGGGCCACCGTGCAGGTTGTGTGCAGCACAGTTGGGAGTGGGGTGGGGTGGGGGTAAGTGGATGCTGAAATCCAGTCTGTGCCCCACTTGCCAAATGCAGGGCTCGAGTGCCAGCACAGGGTTGTGTCCGTTGGAGAGAAGGGAGTGGCACCTCTTTCCCATTTGCCATAGGCCCCGATGGGCTGGGAGTGGTCCTGCTTTGTCAAAGAGGATGCCAGCCCACTACCTGCAAATTGGTTGGCTTTGCAGCTCACATCTCCCAAGTCAATTCCATGTTTCCTGATTTTCAGGTTTGTTGAGGCTGTTCCCCCACCCACTATTGGATTTAATGAATCCAGTTGCTATGTGATTCTATTCTGAGTTCTTTTTGTAGACATCCCATCTGGCAAGGCCATGACTCTCAAAGCTATTTCTATGACACCAGATTGGATCCTCATACCCTCATGCTATTGTCTGACTCAGCATGACACAACAGCCAAGGCATCTGAATCACACTGCTCTTCCTTTTTCTTTATTTAACAAACATTTACATAGTCCTTCCCCTGTGCCAGGCGCTGTCCTAACACTTTCCAAATATTAAGCTATTTAACCTTCCAATCTAAGAGGTGGGTACTATAATTATCTCATTTTACAGATGAGGAAACCAAAGCTCAGAGAATTTAAGTGACCCGCCCAGGGTTCACGTGGTCATAGGTGGCAGGGCTGGGATTCAAACCCAGGTCGACTTTGGCTCCATCTTGGCTTTTTTCTTGTCATTCTTTCCCTCCCTCTTCCTCTTCCTTTCTCCCCTCGTTTTCTCTTCCCTTTCTTCTTTCCTCATTCCCTACTTCCTTCCTGATAGAGCCACAGCAACCGCCACCTGCTTCCCTCGGACACTGCCCAGCCCAGCACACCCTGCCCCCCATCCTCCAGGCAAGGCTCTGCCAGGCTGTCCGTCATCACCCTCATTTCCCTGTGCCAGCAGACAGGGTGTGCCAACCTCAACCCTGTCAACCCGCTGGCTCTGACCACAGCAGCTGGCAGAGGCCTGGAAGCTGGGGCCAGGCCAGCTTGGAGGGCAGTTGGCACTTCGGGAAGTTACACGATGTGCCCAGACCTTCCCCAATGATGTTTATGTTACCCATATCATATTTCATTTTCTTGCCCAGGGATTTTAATGTGGGCAAGATGGCTTGTGCTGCTTGGGATAAACTTAGACAAATAAGGGGCCAAAAGAAAGTGAGAAGTGAGATAGAGGGATAGAGAGACAGAAAGAAATAGAGAACCCTAAGGCAGGGGGCAAGCGTGAAGAGACCCAGGTGTCCAAGATTCTCTCACTAGAAGTGGCTGCCTACAGTTTTGGGAACAAGGAGGAGTGGCTTGATATTATCCCTCTATGTGTGAATGAACTTCTGAGTTTCTCAAAGGACTCATGTTCTTCTCCATAACTATGCCTTTGCATATGCGGTTCCCCTGGCCTGGAAGGCCCTTCCTAATCGTTTCTATCCGAGGACCGGGGACCATGCTCACGTGCTGCCCGCTTATGGGAACCCTTTCCTGAATTCCTGCGGGGGACTCTGCTGGTCTCTCCTCTGACACCATAGCATCTGTGTGCACATGCATACTTCTGTTTTGAACTAATTGGCTTACATCCCCTCTCTATGCCCAGTACAGGAGTGGTGGCTGGAGGAGGCTGAGGAGGTACAGGAAGTCTATCAGCACGTCACAGAAAAGTGACGGGAAAGGAAGAGTGGGGATTGTGAAAGCCTCAAGGCAAGGTGACTCTGGGTTCAAGGCTCACCAGCTGGTGACCTTGGGCAAGTCACCTAACCTCTCTGTGCCTCAGCTTCCCTTCTATAAAATGGGAATAATATTACATTTTGTACAGTTTGTGCATCATTGAGTTGTGTGAGAATGAAATGAGTTAAGATATGGAAAGCACACAGAACAGTGTCTGGCGTGTACAAATCCCTCAGTCAATATTAGTCATTATTATTATCAAACTGGAAATAGTCAGAGTTGCCTAAAGGATTAAAGAAAGTACTTTTGATGAAGTGTGAAGCATATAGGAAAGTCTTTGTGATTATCATTAACAATATCAAGAGCAGTGCTCAATCCATTGTGATTTCCAGAATTAACTTACAAGGTGAGGCCACATTGCTATTGCTTTTTTGAGCAAATGAAATGATGAATATGATTTTTTTTCTTTTCTTTTCTTTCTTTATTTCTTTTTTCTTTTCTTTTTTTTTTTTTTTTTTTTGAGGCGGAGTTTCACTTTGTCGCCCAGGTTGGAGTGCAGTGGTATGATCTCAGCTCCCTGCAATCTCCGCCTCCCAGGTTCAAGCGATTCTCCTGCCTCAACCTCCTGAGTAGCTGGGATTACAGGCATGCGACACCATACCCGGCTAATGTTTTATATTTTTGGTAGAGATGGGGTTTCACCATGTTGGCCAGGCTGGTCTTGAACTCCTGACCTCAAGTTATCTGCCCACCTCGGCCTCCCAAAGTGCTGGGATTACAGGCGTGAGCTACCGCGCCCAACCAAATATGATGTTTTTTTGTAAATGATAAAATGACAAGCAAAAATCGTGATGGTTTAATAAACGTTCATTGCCCGACCCAAAACGTAGTCCTGCCTGTAAGTGTGGCTCGTTCTGGGACCTCTGTGGCCTCAGACTTTCAAGAGGGTGGTTTTACTCCCAAAGTCCTCGTTTTGGGGACCTAAGGCAGAAGCTAGTGATGGACACGGGGAGTTGGGCATGTTGCTTCGCTTCTGTCAGGTTAGGAAACCTCTTCCTTGTCTGTATCAGTAAACAAACGGAAGTCATTATTCGCTTCTGCCGACATTGTAACGTTAAAAAAAAATTGACCATCAGATTGAGAGAAAAGGCTAAATCACTGGCGCCAATTTCTTCTGTACAGATGGGAGAACTCAGGCCAAGAAAGTGGAAAGGACCTGTTCAAAGCCACAAAGTAAGGGCTAGAACCTAGATCTCTAGACCCCTAGTTCCCTGCCCTTTCACTGGTGATTGCCTTCCAAAAACTCAATGCTCTCCCAATTCGGAGCCCCATGTCCTTAAATGGAAGGTGATGAAGGCGCAGTGCTCCTGTCCAGAGACCAGGTGGGGAAGACTCTGGAGGCAGGGAAAGTGAGACGGGCAAAGCCAGTATGCAGGACACCCCCCCCTACCGTGCAATTACCTCAATCTTCACAACCCTGTGAGGCGGAGACTATCATTATTATCCCCATTTTACTTCTGTAAAAGAGGGCCAGTAACACTGCAGGGATGTAAACGGAGGCCCAGGATCGTCCAATCGTCCCATCGTTCTCTGCAGCTCTTCCTCCTGGAGCCTGGCCATTGCTAAGGTCCAGAACGTGTGCAGGGCACAAAGCAAATAGGTCTCCGGTACTGGGATGAGGTTTTGACTCTCTATACCCCATGGTACCCAGCACAGCGCAGGCACGGGGTAGGTCCTGGCTGATCAATCGTCCTGCCTTTTGAAAATGCCATCTTTTCCACAGGTTTGGCCATGCTGTACACCCCCAGGATACACCTTCTCATACCAAGTCTCCACTCTCATGTGGTTCTATTCTAGGACTTTCCACCGCCTCCACGTCCCCTGAATATTTTTTCTGTCCCCAGCTCTCAGGAACTTTGACTCCTTGGCTGCCTTATTCTTTGTGCATATTGGTCAAGAGCCAAAGATCTACCGGCCTCAGCTTTCCCAGCTGTACAATGGGGTGCCGAGCCAGTGGCTGGCTTTGACGCGCTGCTAGATTGGAATCCGAGACATAAGAACCGCACAAAATTACCAAGTCCTACCTCCTCTCCCCGCCCCCGTCCCCGCCCTCTTTCGGAAAGCGCCTGCGCAGAAGCCGCCGGACCGCCCTCCACGATTCGAATCCGTATCCGCCCTTTTCGCTGCCTCGAAGACTCGGCGCTCGACAGGCGTCTACTAGCCTGTCTTCCGGTTTCGTCGCCGCCGCAGGCGCACCTGCCGAGTTCCGAGCGACCGATGGAGATGGCGGCCGCGGCTGTGTGAGGGACGGTGGAGGCCCGGGCCCGAGGACGGGACAGGCCTGCGTGTCCGCAGGAGCCCGGCCGGGTACAGAGGGTCAGGCCTAGTCTGAGGGACGGGGACACGACTCCTCCAGAACGGAGATGGGCGGGCCCTGTGGGTGTGGACCGTGTGTGGTTGTGGTGGGTGTGACGTGAGAGGTGGGAGATGCGGCTTTCAGGCGGTGCGTTTAGCTTGTGTGTGCTTGTGATGATTGGGCCCTGTGCGGTTACGCGGGGCATATACACTTGGGTTTGGTTGTGCAGCTGTGGGGGGAGTGGGTGGGTGCTTGTCTCCCGAGCGGTTGTGTTTGATTCTCTGGTTGTGTAAAGCTGAAGCGTTTGTGTTCTGAGTTCGTGTAGAGATGTTTGGAGTGTTTTGTGTGGTGTCTGTGCGGTGTGTGACGTTGTCATGTCTGCTCCACGGGGTTGAGTCGTTCGTGTTGTGTGTGGTCATGCGACGTGTGTATAATCGTGTTAGTTACGTGGGTTGTGGTTGTGTGCGGTCGTGAGGGCGGGTTGAGTGCGGCTGTGGGATATGTCGTCGATGCGGCATGTGGCGGGGTGACATTCGTGCTGGATGTACGATTGCAGAACATGTAGGTTTTTGTTTTTGTTTTTGTTTTTGTTTTTTACTTTTTTTTTTTTTTTTGAGACGGAGTCTGGCTCTGTCGCCCGGGCTAGAGTGCAGTGGCCGGATCTCAGATCACTGCAAGCTCCGCCTCCCGGGTTTACGCCATTTTCCTGCCTCAGCCTCCCGAGTAGCTGGGACTACAGGCGCCCGCCACCTAGCCCGGCTAGTTTTTTGTATTTTTTAGTAGAGACGGGGTTTCACCGTGTTAGCCAGGATGGTCTCGATCTCCTGACCTCGTGATCCGCCCGTCTCGGCCTCCCAAAGTGCTGGGATTACAGGCTTGAGCCACCGCGCCCGGCCCTGTTTTTTACTTTTTACGTGATTTAAGAGTGCAAGGGGCTTGCGTATGTGTTCAGTTACGGTTGTGGGGTCCGATTCGGTGTTTTCTTTATGGTGTATGCTTAGTTATGATTTTGGAGTTCATTCATTTGTTCCTTCTTTCATGGAGATTTATTGTGCTTCTTCATTGTGTGTGCCAGGTACTGTGCTAAACCTTGGGGAGACGGCGAAGGGGAAAACATACAGAGTTTGTGCCCTCCCAGATTTTTCAGTCTTACTTGGTCACTTCACGTATGTACCTGCGGTTATAAATTGAGATGAGTGCTGTGAAGGAGAAGTCCATTCTGATGCTCTGAGTAAGAGGCATTTCTTTGAGGAAGTGAGGTTTGGGTTTGGGCTGAGGCGTGAAGGGTGGTTTTGTGGCATGGATGTGGTGGGCTTTGTGTTTGATTTGTGGTCGTTTGGGGTGAGTGCATGGGAAGAAAGGGCGCTGTCACAGTCAGCATCAGATGAACCACTGGCTGGGGAGGGAAGAGGCCAGACCTAGAGCTACTATATTTCAGTGGAAAATGTATGAAGTCACTGGGTTTCTTAACTAGAGGGGAAAAATAGGGTCCTGGTGTGTCATTTGTTTATTTTCTGAGTTGCTGCCACCCTTCAGCTTTGAGGACCAGGCAGTCCCTCCTCAGTGGTCTTCTACAGTCCATCCAAAGCTGAGGGTCACACATCCCCCCTCACTATATACTGTGGCTTGTAGCCCCAGGTTCTTGGGGAGAAATTTCTCTGCTTTTGTGGAATGGTTTTGTCTCAATTTCTCTTGTGACTGAGAGTCTTGATGAGGTGACATTGGAAGTGACTTTGCCATGGGCCAGTAAGACAGAGAATGTAACTTATTAAGCCCTGAAATGTTTAGACACCAAAGCCTTTTATTTATTTATTTACTTACTTTTTTGAGACAGAGTTTCGCTCTTGTTGCCCAGGCTGGAGTGCAATGGCGTGATGTCAGCTCACTGCAACTTCTGCCTCCTGGGTTCAAGCATTTCTCCTGCCTCAGTCCCCCCACTAGCTAGGATTACAGGCGCCTACTGGCTAATTTTTGTATTTTTAGTAGAGATGGGATTTCACCATGTTGGCCAGGCTGGTCTTGAACCCCTGACCTCAGGTGATCCGCCTGCCTTGACCTCCCAAAGTGCTGGGATTACAGGCATGAGCCACCATGCCTGGCCAGCCTTTTATTTTTGAAGCAGTGAGAACATCAGGTTTGCTGCTTAACTGTCACCTACTGGCTTATAAGATCTGTCAGGGTGCAGTGGCTCACACCTGTAATCTCAGCAGTTTGGGAGGCTCAGGCAGGAGGATTGCTTGAGGCCAGGAGTTAGAGACCCACCTGGGAAACACAGAAAGAACCTGTTTCTATAAATAATTTAAAAACTAGCTGGGTGTGATGGCACACTTCTGTAGTCCCAGCTTCTTGGGAGGCTGAGGCAGGAGGATCACTTGAATCCGAAAGTCGAAGCTGTTGTGAGCAATTATAGCTCACTAGGTGACAGAGCAAGATGCTGTCTCTTAAAAAAAAAAATCTAGTAAGCCCATTAGAGATAAGTGCTCCACAAATATAAATTTTTTCTTTTTGACTAGTAGGTTTCTAATGTTTCTCTTTAACTGACGTTAGGAATTTTGTTTTTTTTTTATGTTTTTATGGGAGATACTATGTCTTCATCTTTGCATTTCTAACACAGGTGTCTTACAAGTATCAAGAACTTAATATATGTGGTTGAATAAACAATCAAGGTAAACAGCATCAAGTAAAAACTTCTGCTTGTTGATAAGTACTTCAGACATTCCCCCAGTGGCTAAAGTGGCATATGAATTACGAAGTTGGGTCATTTGGAATGAATGTAAGAGAATTGCCAAGGTATTATTTGCTTATTTCAAGAATCTGTGTTTCCCACTTAATTGAGTTGTTGTTGTCCAATGATGTTTTCACGTCTTAGGTTTTGCAGCTTGCTTGGTCTAAGGATTTGAGAAAGAGTTTGTTTTCTCAAACTTGCACTGAACAAACATTAAGTACCCTGTTGAACTGTGAAAAGAATGAAGAAAATACTCAATTGCTACCAGTTTGCCTGAATTGGCTTTTTTCCCTTCTTCTTTTCTTTCTTAGGCTCCTCCTACTCCAGAGAGGAAACCTCATTCAGGGCCATGAGGCTACTTCCTCACCGTCTGTGTGCTGCTTAAGCTAATGCTACGGGAACTATGATTCCTTGGGAGGAATCAAGCTGACTCTTGGCATGAGATCCCTGCCTTCCTAGGGTTGAGAGCGGCACCGCCATGGCTTCTCTGGATGACCCAGGGGAAGTGAGGGAGGGCTTCCTCTGCCCTCTGTGCCTGAAGGATCTGCAGTCTTTCTATCAGCTTCACTCACATTATGAGGAAGAACACTCGGGCGAAGACCGTGATGTCAAAGGGCAAATTAAAAGTAAGAGACAAGGACCTTGCTGGGTCATATATATACTATATAGGACCTTGCCTATACCCTGCTGTCATTGAGAGCTTTAACTCACGGGATAGTTCTCATCAGCTTCAGTGTTGCCACGGGAATATGGTAATAGTAGTAGCAAACAAATGACTAGTGTTTGTCATGTGCCAGGCATTTTCAGAGTCTCCCTGTTTATTTATTTCATTTAATCCTCACAATAACTATGTGGCTGTGAGCCACATTTTGCACCAGACACAAAGAGATTAGATAACTTATCTAAAGCCACTCAGTGAAACACAGTTTGACTTTGAATCTAGTAAATGTAATTGCTGTGATCTGGCTTGACTATTCTCTAACTACTAGCCTAATAGAATTTGGAGAGGAATTTCTTCCTTTGCTATGATGATGGAGGCACATTATGCACTTATTTTACCTGTCACAAATTTAAGCCTACCCACCATCCTTCCTTCCCCAACTGGTATCTTGCCCTCTGTAGCCCAGAAAAAGGAAGGTCGTAGTTGAAAAACAAAAGAAACAATCTGAAAACCTTGGTTTTTGAGCTTCCAAGAGCTCAGATCTGACTGAGAGAGTTGTGGAAAGAATTTTTCAAAGGTACTTTTGACTATACATATGTTTATTGTATTTCCTGGACATCAAATTCTAACCTCCAGATAAGATGCTTCTCCTCTGGGCGGGCACAGTGGCTTATGTTTCTATTCCCAGCACTTTGGGAGGCCAGTGTGGGTGGATCACTTGAGCTCAGGAGTTCAAGACCAGCCTGGGCAACATCGCGAAACCCACCTCACAAAAAAATTAAAAAAAAAACTAGCCGGATGTGATGGTGCACGCCTGTTGCCCCAGCTACTCAGGAGACTGAGGTAGGAGGATCGCTTGAGCCCAGGGAGGTCAAGGCTGTAGTGAGTGATGATCGTGCCACTGTTGCCTGGGCAACAGAGAGAGAGAGAGACCCTTTCTCTCACACACACACACACACACACACACACACAACAAAGATGCTGCTCCTCTGGAACTTATTTTTGTAGTTTTCAGCTAACTTGCTTCTCACAGCTGGCAGCATTTCTGAAGGCCATGAGATTAAAAAGTTCTGGATGCTATATTCATAGTCTTTATTGGGAGGGAAAGAAAGGAATGACCATGTATTTCTAAGTGTGCTTTGGCTTTCTAACAGGTGACTCATATGTACTTTGTAATCACATAGTTGTCCCTAGAGTCCCACTCTATCTCACTTTTCTGTTCAGTAAAAAAGAGTTTCTAAAAGCATAAACAGTTGCAACTTCTATCCAAAAACAACAAAGGCAAACATTTCTGAAATCCTGAGGGCTATGGTGGATGAGGTGGCTTCTGGCTGTAGAGGCTGTAGAGCAGAGCCAAAACTATTAGGAGGGGAAAAAAATGCTGTGCTTTATAGTTTTTAGAGTTTCTTTCACAGACATTATTATTTCATCTGACTCTCCTAACAACTCTGCAAGAAGGTGATTGGTCTTATTTTATAGATAGTAAGTGAAGTGAGGCTCAAGAGATGTTGAGTTACTTATCCACGGTCACACAGGAATTGCAGAGCTAGGCCTGGAATGTAGGTCTTCTATCATCTCTGTGTCCAGTGCTGCCGTTTGCATGTGACATCACAGGGTGAGAGGCCCCGTGTTTCAATCACAGTGTACATTGCAGCTTCCTGGAGGAAATGAAGCAAAAACAAAACTGAAAAACCTGATTATGTAAGTTTCCTTTGCCAACCAAAGGAAGAGCCTCCATCATTTTCAACTAGCTTCCGGTCTTGGTGTCAGCTGAACTAAGTCATATACAATGCCATTGCTAAAACTGGTGATGCCAGTGGGTAGAGAGGTTAGATAATGTTCCCCGATTCCTTCACTGACCCTTTTTTAAGAGGAAGAGTGTTTAAGGTTATTTAGAGAATACAGATACGGGAATCTATTTAAGGAATACTAAATAGAATGGAAATTTTGTGCCTTGTGAAAGAAACTTGAAAGGATCCTTGGCTGGGCACAGTGACTCACACCTGTAATCCCAGCGCTTTGGGAGGTCATGGCGGGAGGATCGCTTCAGCTTAGGAGTTTGAGAACAGCCTGGGCAACATAGATCCTGTCTGTACCAAAAAAAAAAAAAAAGAGAAAAAAGAATTTTGTTTTTTAGTTAGCTGGGTATGATGACATGCACTTGTAGTCCTAGCCACTTGGGAGGCTGAAGCAGAAGGATCCCTTGAGCCCAGAAGGTTGAAGCTGCAGTGAGCCATGATTATGCCACTGCACTCCAGCCTGGGCAGCAGAGTGAAACTTTGACTCAAAAACAAAAAACAAAATAAAGTTACTTCAGCCAGGTGCAGTGGCTCACGCCTGTAATTCTAGTACTCTGGGAGGCCAGGGCAGGAGGATTGCTTGAGCCCAGGAGACCAGACTGGGCAACATAGCGAGACCATCTCTACAAAAAAATTATTTTAAAAAATTAGCCAGTCATAGTGGCACGCACTGGTAGTCCCAATTACCCAGGAGGCTGAGGTGGGAGGATCGCTTCAGCTTGGGAGATCAAGGCTGTCACATTCTAGCCTGAGCAACAGAGTGAAACTGTCTCAAAAAAAAGAAAGAAAAGATCCTCTTGGTTTTCCCTTTATCTCCCACCCTGCCCTACCCCCTACATCTCTACCTCTAGTACTACTAATGATCATATCTTTAGTTAGAAAGGAATTCTTGATTATGTTGCAGTTTTCTGCATTTCAGAATCAGGAAAGTAAAGTTTTAAGGATTGACATGAAAGGTTTTTTGAAAAGCCCTTTAGAAAGCAGATTACCTCTCCATTTGGTCTTTTGATTCTTAGAAATGTTATGACATGGTTAGTTTTAGGCAAGTGAAAAGTTAAAGCCAAAAGAGTGAACCTTAGTATTAGTTTTTGGGGGCAGTTCAAAAAAGAAAAGATAGACTAGTCATTAGTAAAAAGTTTGTGGATTCGAGACCCAGTCCTGGTTCAGCTCCAGTTTAGCCCATTTTCAGTAAGTAGAAGAAAAGATAGCTGAAAATTGACTGTGGCTTCTTGCTTTGTTATTGTTTTTAAAAATATATGGGATTATTCTTAATTGACCTCCTGTGGAAGGGCTATGTCCATTCTGGGAAGATTGCCAGGTAGTTTTGCTGTCTCCTAATGTGGTTAATGGTATAGATTGCCTGTTTAACCTGATACTCGTCTTGTTTGCAAAAATGAATTGTTATTTGCTAACTCACATTCCTGTTTGCTAGACCCTTTGTTCACATCAGGCAGTTTCCTCTCCCCTGTTACTAGAATAGACTACTTTAGGCCAGGGACAGTGGCTCATGCCTTTAATCCCAGCACTTTGGGAGGCTGAGGTGGGTGGATCACCTGAGGCCAGGAGTTTGAGACCAGCCTGGCCAACGTGGTGAAACCCCGTCTCTACAAAAAAAAAATACAAAAATTAGCTGGGTGTGTTGGCATATGCCTGTAATCCCAGCTGCTTGGGAGACTGAGGCAGGAGCATCCCTTGAACCCCTGGGAGTCAGAGGTTGCAGTGAGCTGAGATAGCTGCCATTGCATTCCAGCTTGGGTGACAAGAGTGAAACTCTGTCTTAAAAAAAAAACTACTTTAGTGCATTTTAAAGGATGTCCTTTTGTTTTGGTATTTTTCCAGTTTGGACAAAGCTGTCCCACAGTGACCAATAATCAGAAAGTTTGCTTATTGGCTTGACTGTATTAAAAGAAGACGAGTGTATTCTTATCAATCTCACCCTCTGCCTGCGAGCCTAGGCAATATCTCTCCAAAAAAAAAAATTTTTTTTTAATTACCTAGTTATGGTGGTGCACACCTGTGATCCCCAGCTACTTAGGAGACTGAGGCAAGAGGATCGCTTGAGCCCAGGAGATCAAGGCTGCAGTGAGCTAGGATTGTGCCACTGTACTCCAGCCTGGGTGACAGAGCGAGACCCTGTCTCTAAAAAATAAATAAATAAAAGGTAAAAGTAATGATATCATTTTATATTCAGTCTGATATTTTCTACTAGATTCTGGTAGAAGAAAGGGGTAGCATTCATCCAGGATTAAAGAACATTCATGAGAGAGCGAGAGCGACTTAGAACTGAGAATTCTTTTTTTGCCCCTGCCAGCTGATTGTTCAGTTTAACAGGTGGTTCGCTTCACCAGCACAGGTGGCAGAACCCATGTTCTGCAGAGGCATAGTTTGTGAATCAGCACTAGCTAGGGAGAGCTGGAGCTCTCATTTCAGACACATGAGGTGTCTACTTCCAGCCCTGCTGTTATCTGTAAGCTCTGTGATCTTGGGTGAAGCAAGTTCTTCCCCGTCTTTGATGTTGTTTCCTCATTTGTAAGTAGGGCTGTCACCTGCCTTATAACATTGTGAGCATGAACTGGCATGATGTATTTGCAAGCACTTTGCATTGTGCCTGGTACATACAAGGTCTAAATATAGGAAATGTTCATTTTCTCTTCTTACCAAATCTGGTTCTGTTTGTGTTATGTTGTAGATGTTATATCTGTTTCTTGAAGCTTTTTGCAAATATTCTCACATGCATTCAATAAGTGCGTGGGCAGTAGTGGGGAAGGAAGAACTCTGTGTCTGGTTAAGCCTATGGGGAACACCAGTCCAGGGATGGAGGTTTAGCTGAATCCCATCCTGGAGGTAAATGAGAAGAATTTACTCATGAGTTTCTGGGGTAAATTAATTAGTACTATAGAACTTGGTTTTTAAAAAACTTTATTTTAATTGAGGTATAGTTTTTAAGCGTACACTTTTATTTTATTTTATTTTAAATTTTTTTTCTTTTTTTTTTTTTTTTTTGGTGACAGGATCTCATTCTGGTTGCCCAGGCTGGAGTGCAGTGGCACAATCTCAGCTCACTGCATCCTCGACCTCCTGGGCTCAGGTGATTCTCCCACCTCAGCCTCCCAAGTAGCTGGGACTACAGGTGCATGCCACCACAGCCAGCTAGTTTTTTGTATTTTTAGTAGAGATGGGGTTTTGTCATGTTGCCCAAGCTGGCTTGAATTCCTGGACTCAAGTAATTCGCCTCCCTTGTGGGATTACAGGTGTGAGCCACTGTGCCTGGCCCAATTCAAAAAGTTTTAAAAAATGTATATACCCACTTAACCACCACTCCAATTAAGATAAAGAAGAAAACACTTCCATCACCCTGTTTTCCTCATCAAATTTGATTTTAGCACTTTTATTTAATTGTGCTCTTAAGTTTGGCAATGAGCAGTAATTTAGCCCATATTTTGGCCACCTAAACCAATTTAATGCTAATACTGACTAACCAGTGTATTGCTCTGTGGTATTTGTAGTATAGTGTTTGTGTGCTTGTTCCTGCATTTTACTTGGGATCTGAATATTTCTGGTGCATTTTTAAACAAATGATAATTATTTTGTTAACTCTTATTTTTTGAGATTTCTTTTGACTCTTTACTGGGCGTTCTTCATGGTTCATTTGTATTATTTGTTCCATTTTTCAAGGTCTTGTCCAGAAGGCTAAGAAAGCAAAGGACAGGTTGTTGAAACGAGAAGGGGATGATCGAGCAGAATCAGGGACCCAAGGATATGAGTCTTTCAGCTATGGAGGGGTTGATCCTTACATGTGGGAACCCCAGGAGCTTGGTAAGAAAATTCATTTATTCATTCAGCAAGTGGTTATTGAGCATCTGCTATGTTCTAGGTAAAGTTTTAAAAGTTGAGGAGGCATCAGTAAACCATAACGGTCTAAGCTTCTAATGGACCTTATGCCCTTGTTGAGGGGAGAAAATGGAAGAGAACCAGCTGAGCATCCACTTTGTGTTAGGCATTACATTAAATGCTTTATACCTGTGGTCTCGTTAGATCTTCACTGCACCTCATGAGAACCTGCCCAGAGACAAACAGTGAGTAAACTGCAGAAGTGGGGTATGAATCCATATCTCTCGGACATCAGCCTAGGCACAGAGTCCATTAACGAATCTTTCCTCTCACATAGGACATTATTTGCCCAGTGACAGGCACTGGGTTATGCAGCTTACTTTTTTGAATAATTATAGTACCATCTACCTACTTTCACGTTTCTGGGATGATAAAAATTCTCTAAAATTTATTGTGATGATTGTACAACTCTTAAAATCCTAAAAACCACTGAATTTGCTTTAAATGGTGTATGTATGTGAATTATATCTCAATAAACCTATTTATCATGCCACACACACTTAGTTGAACTATCTAATCTTACATATCTGTGTTTTTGTTTTTTTGTGTTTTTTTTTGAGACAGAGACTCACTGGGTCGCCCAGGCTGGAGTCCAGGGCTCCATCATGGCTCACTGCATTCCAGGCTCAAGTGATCCTCCTCCGTAGCTGAGGCTACTGGTGCACACCATCACACCTCGCTAATTTTTGTATTTTTTGTAGAAACAGGGTCCTTTTTTGCCCAGGCTGGTCTCGAACTCCTGGGCTCAAGTGACCCGCCCATCTCAGCCTCCCAGAGTGATGGGATTACAGGCGTGAGCTACTATACTTGCCTACATATCCTTTAACCATCTAATGATAACAGTCATTAATATAATAAAATATTTTCTGTCCATGAAATGGGTAATTATTCCTTTATTTATTAATTATTCCCTTGTGATTTATTAAATTTTCATGTTTATGATCTTGTTCACCTTTCACAAAAGCCTTGTGAAGTAATGATCCTTTTTCCCATTTATAGATGAGGAAACTGGAGCTCTAAGAAGGAAAGCGAAATTCACCCAGGCTTATCTACTGTACCTTTTTAGTGCCGTTATAGAAGATGTCTCTTTGAATAAGGAAAGTCCTACAACTGTGCTGTCCATTCAGTAGCCACCAGTCATGGGCTACTTAGTTTAAATAGATTAAAATGAAATAAAATTAAAAGTCACTTCTGTACCACACACTAACTACATTTTAAGTGTTCTATGTCCACTTGTGGCTATTTGCTACTGTATTGGAGAATGGAGAAAATTGCTTTAAAAATAATACTATACAGCCGGGCGTGGTGGCTCACGCCTGTAATTCCCCAGCACTTTGGGAGGTTGAGGCGGGTGGATCACAAGGTCAGGAGTTCAAGACCAGCCTGGCCAATATGGTGACACCTTGTATCTACTAAAAATACAAAAAATTTAGCCAGGCATGGTGGCACATGCCTGTAATCCCAGGTACTCAGGAGGCTGAGGCAGGAGAATTGCTTGAATCCGGGAGGCGGAGGTTGCAGTGGGCGAAGATTGCGCCATTGCCCTCCAGCCTGGGTGACAGAGTGAGACTCTGTCTCAAAAAAAAAAAAGAATAATACTATACATATGTAATTATGAGATACATATGAAAGCCAATCCAAAACATGAAGGAGAAATTTTGGACACATGAATTCTTATTAGCTTTGTTTCATGATTGCCCATGTGAGATTACTGGGGTGATTTTCTGATTAAGTTGCCAGTTGCAGCAACTGGAGACAGTCACAAATTGTAGAAGGTCAAGTGAATGGCAAATTTTGTAAGTTAATATTTATTTATGATAGCTTGTTTGTGATACCTTGTTTCATGATTGCCAATGTGAGATTACTAGGGATTTTCTGATTAAGTTGCCAGTTGCAGTAACTGAAGTTACAAATTGTAGGTTAAATGAATGGCAAATTTTAGTAGTTAATATTTATGGTCGCCCCTAAGAATTCTAAACTAAAGTTTAATTAGATGTTAGAGTATGATTAGGGTAGAAAAGACATGTGGATGGTTAAGAGTATAGCATGTGTGGCCAGGTGCAGTGGCTCACCTGTAATCCCAGCACTTTGGGAGGCCAAGGCAGGTAGATCACATGAGGCCAGGAGTTTGAGACCAGTTTGGCCAATGTGGTGAAACTGTCTCTACTAAAAATACAAAAATTAGCCGGGCCTGGTGGCACATGTGTGTAATCCAAGTTACTTGAGAGACTGAGGCATGAGAATCGCTTGAACCTGGGAGGTGGGGATTGCAGTGAGCCAAGAGATTTTGCCACTGCACTCCAACCAGGATGACAGGGTGAGACTCTGTCTCAAAAATAAGTAAATAGAAAGAGTATAACGTGGAGATGCTGATCGAAGGATACAAAATTTCAGTCGGGAGGAATAAGTCGAGAGATCTGTTGTACAAGGTGCTGATTTATAGTTTTTTATTTGTTTGTTTTTCTGAGATGGAGTCTTCCTCTGTCACCGAGGCTGGAGTGTGCTGCTGTGATCTTGGCTCACTGCAACCTTTGCCTCTGGGTTCAATTCTCGTGTCTCAGCAACCTGAGTAGCTGGGACTACAGGCGTGCACCACCATGCCCAGCTAATTTTTGTATTTTTGATAGAGACAGGGTTTCACCATGTTGGTCAGACTGGTCTTGAACTCCTGGCCTCAAATGTTCCACGCTCCTCGGCCTTCCAAAGTGCTGGGATTACAGGCATGAGCCACTGCACCTGGCCTGATTATAGTTAATGAAAATATCTTGTATTCTTGGAAGTCAGTGAGAGTAGACTTTGTGTTGTCACCACAAAAAGTGATAAGTATATGAGGTAATGCATATGGTAATTAGCTAGTTTAGCCATTTCCCAATGTATAAATATTTCAAAACATGTTGTACACGGTGAATATATGCAATTTTTATTTGGCAATTAAATTTTTTTTTTTTAAAGCATGGCATGTGACAAATTCTGTTACACTACAGTTTATAAGTGAATAGGTGATCATTGGGAAGGAGACATACATTGAGTGCCGGGAGGGTTGAGGGCAATATGTTTCTGGAGCAGGTGAGACTGAGCAGGGGATATTTCAGGTTACTCGGACAGTAAGCTTTTTGTGTTGCAGACATTTGTCCTGGGTTTTGGCTGCTGTACTGAGGAAGATATCAGCTTAACTAGCTTCCACAAGGGAATCTATTAGCATTTACATTTTTTTGGCCATTTTGAGAATTGTCTTTATCCTGAGGAAAAACCATATTGTATCAAATTTATAAATTATAAAACAGTAAGATAATTCAAAAATTTTTAAATCGCCCATAATGTTACCACCCGGTTTATTTAACATTGGCATGAGAGTCAGTTAAGACTTTACAAATTTTAACTTACTTAATCATCATAACAACTCTGTGAAGTACATACCGTTATTATTCCATTTGATAATTGAGTACTCTTACAGTTACAGAGATGTTAAGTAATTTGTCCAGGGTTACACAGTGTGTGGCAGAATTGAAACTTGAGCACAGGCTGACTCCAGAGTCCATGCTCTTTATCTACTGTACTCTCAGGTCTCTCATATGGTACTTGGTGGCCTCCGAAGGTCACGGTTAACAATTCAGCAGATTTTCTTCCATTTACTTTCCTGGTTTTTTAATTTTTGGTACGACTCTAAAATCCTAGAGTTTTTACTTGCTTTTGAAATTTTTTTTTTTTCTTTCTGAGATTGGTCTCACTCTGTCACCCAAGCTGGAGTACAGTGGTGGGATCATAACTCACTGAAGCCTCCAGCTCCTGAGCTCAAGCTATCTTCCCGCCTTGGCCTCCCAAGGAGCTGGGATTATAGGCGTACATGCCCATGCCTGGCTATTTTAATTTTTTTATTTTTTGGAGAGAGACGGGGTCTCGCTATGTTGACCAGCCTGCTTTTGAAATTCATTGGGATAAGTGGCAAGGTAGAGAGGCTCCCTCAGAGAAACTATAAGTCATTTGTCTCCCTACCTTCCTTCCCTCTAGGTGCTGTGAGAAGCCATCTTTCCGACTTCAAAAAACACCGAGCTGCTAGAATTGACCACTATGTTGTGGAAGTCAATAAATTAATAATCAGGTTAGAGAAGGTAAATTTTGTTGTCTTAAAACATTTTTTTCTGCAAATACACATTTGCTGGGAAAAAATAATCATATTTCTATCACATGTGTTGTGTGTATCATATACAGCTGATGGTGGCAGAGAAACACCTTCTCTAGAGAGGTGCAGAGGATGTGGTGGACAGTTCTAGCCTGGGCCAGCATTCCTTAAGAGAATGGCCCAGGCTGACAAATTTGCCACATGCTTAGCTTCCCTTTTCCCACCTATGAATCCCACTCAGGTGCCAGAAAACCTTTCTTCCTTCAGATTCTTCTTTTGGGTGTCCCAGGCACAATCACCCAGTGAGGTGTAGTGTGTGATGGCAAACAAAGAAGCGGTGACCAGGTCTCACGGGTGTATTTTGATCCTGGATGTGCTTGTTGTGTGTAACCTGGATTGTGTGCTGGGCATAGTAGCAACCATAAGTACAGTTCTTTATGTGTACTTTGTAAGGCAGAAATATGTGGCCAGTTTTAGGGTCCAGGAGCACTGTGGAGAATGGAGAGTTTTCCATTGCTTTCAGTCACTGCCCCTACCCATCCTTGCCTACCCCTGATTATTGCTAAAATGGGTAACTGACAATAAAGAGATTAGAAGTGGGTCATAGGAAGGGAGGTAGGTTCTAGATGTAAAACTAATACCCTGTCCCATGTGAAATTGCTTTTGTGATTTTGTGGAGTTGGGGATGACAGATGAGACTTGAGAAATCCAAATGTGCTAATTTCCTGCTTGATGTATTAGAAAATGTGGAGCATGTATACATCACATGGTTAATTTCATTTGGCAATATTTTCTCCCGGTCAGCTCACTGCGTTTGACAGAACAAATACTGAATCTGCAAAGATTCGAGGTAACTTTAAAACTTTGCTCACATTCATCTTATTATCTTCTTTCCCTGACCAAAGCTCTCTTTAAAAATGGCCTGCTTTCTTGTTGGTTTGCTCTTCCCAAAGCAATAGAAAAGTCTGTGGTGCCTTGGGTCAACGACCAGGATGTCCCTTTCTGTCCAGACTGTGGGAATAAGTTCAGCATCCGGAACCGCCGCCACCACTGCCGCCTCTGCGGGTCTATTATGTGCAAGAAGTGTATGGAGCTCATCAGCCTTCCCTTGGCAAGTAGGTGACTTGGAGGTGGGGCCCTGGACCCTCATCTTCTTTTGGGTCTAGCTTATTTGCTAATCACCACTGGGACCGTGGAACCTTTTTGTTACATTAATGGCTCATGGGAATCTTCATTCATTAAGTTGCTGATTCTGTGAAACCCACTACAGGCTAGGTACTATGCTAGGGGCAGATACAGTGGTCTATAACAGGGATTGGCAAACTTTGTAAGGATCAGATAGTAGATAAATTTAAGTTTTGTGGGCCACATATGGTTGCTGTGACATTTTTTCTTTCTTTAAACAACCTTTTAAAAATGTGAATACTAGACTGGGCACAGTGGCTCACGCCTGTAATCACAGCACTCTGGGAGGCCGAGGCAGGTGGATCACTTGAGGTCAGGAGTTCGAGACCAGCCTGGCCAACATGTTGAAATCCTGTCTCTATAAAAATACAAAAATTAGCCTGGTGTGGTGGCATGTGCCTGTAGTCCCACCTACTCAGGAGGCTGAAGCAGGAGAATTGCTTGAACCTGGGAGGCGGAGGCTGCAGTGAGCTGAGATTGAGCCACTGCACTCCATCCTGGGTGACCGAGTGAGACTCCCTCTCAAAATAAATAAATAAATAAAATAGCAATGTGAAAATTATACTTAGTTTGAGAGCCATATAGAAACAGCCTGCAGGCTGGACTTGGCTCACAGGTCATCTTTTGCCCATTTCTGGCCTATAAGCCTATAAGGCATTGTTCATTCTCCCAAGGAGTCTAGCATCTAGCAGGGGGCATAAACTCACAAATAAATAATTGCTTTCTAAAGAGAGATGTACAATGAAAGAGATTGTGTCAGGCACTCAGGAGAGGCTGACCAACTCTTTGCTCTGCTTGGAAGTGGCAAGTGTGATTTTGAGAAGAGGGTCTTGAATATAAACAGTGGGCTAGTCCCTTCCTGTGGGATAAGTCACACACAACTCACTGTCATATAGAAAAGACTAATATAATATGAGAGATGCTGAGTGCTGTGGGTTCAGGGACAGTGAGAGCATGGATGCTTAGGGCTGGGAGGTGATGTTCGAAAAGAGCCTTAAAAGATGAGTAGGATTGCAAAAGAGATGGAGAAAGGACATTTTAGGTAGAATGAACAGCAGGAGCAAAGGCATGGAATTCTGGAAAGTCCAGGGTAGGTTAATAGAGGAGCAAATAGAATAGTTGGGGGTGTGTGGAGGACAAAGTTTAGGTGGAACCCGATCCTCCAGGACTTTGCAACCAAGCTGAGTAGAAGTTGCTGAAGATGATCTCATTGGCTTCTGGGAAGTTTGGGATAAATTTACACTAGAGAGTTCTGCTGACTCTGCATGCTGTTGGCCACGGGGTGTCTGGATAATGTGGGGACAAAAACAGATGCTGCTTCTGTCCAACTCTCACATATACCAGGTCACTTTACCTTGATACTTCCTCCCTGAGACCAACTCCCTGTCTCATGTACATAAGACTATAAGCAGCCTTTTTGGGACACTATTCATCCTTCTTCTCTTGAGCTCTTTAGCCAGCATTTGCTGGGCAGCTGCTGTGGCGTGGCCCTGCTGGATATGTTAAGGGTACAAGTGTGAGTAAGACACAGTTTGTACCCACAAAGAGTCATAGGTTCCTAGGGCAGCTCTGGGGTGTACATGTAACTGTACACAGGGAGAAGAGTGGAAAGTGCTCCAAAATGGGCAATGTGGTGGGAACTGATGGGAAGGATGGATAGTTTTTGCCTCAGGGAATTGGAAAAGGCTTTCCTGGAGGACCTGCCATTCAGAGAGGATAGGAGCCAGATGTTTGGGAATAGGGAGAAGGCTGTGGAGGAAAATCTCCCGGGAGAATCTTTGTTGTGTTGGAGGCACAAGGCAAATGGAAGAGAGTGGCAGGTGGAAAGGCAAGGTTGTTTGGATTTGGAGGGGCAGCAGTGGAGTCCTTTCCCACCAGAGTCTGACACCAGGAAGGCAGACGGGCAGTACTTGCCCACAGCTGGAGCCTGATCTTGTTACTCTCTAAATCAAACACCTGTGGACTGCCGCCTTGAGGTCGTGGGTATGGTAATTGGATGCTGTGGGGGTCATTGCTGCCTGTTGGTGTTGTGGTTACAGACAAGCTCACCAGTGCCAGCAAGGAGTCCCTGAGCACCCACACCAGCCCCAGCCAGTCACCCAACAGTGTCCATGGCTCCCGCCGAGGCAGCATCAGCAGCATGAGCAGTGTCAGCTCGGTCCTGGATGAGAAGGACGATGACCGGATCCGCTGCTGTACACACTGCAAGGACACGCTGCTCAAGAGAGAGCAGCAGATTGATGAGAAGGAGCACACACCCGACATCGTGAAGCTCTACGAGGTGATTCGCGCTGTCTGGTCTTGGGTCTAATTTCTTAGGCAGATTTTGGCTGTTTGTTATGTACACTCCTGCAGATTCTGGAGAATGCTTTGGGAAGTTGTTCGTTTGAATTATTTGTAGTTCCTGTTAAAGGCCCATGTTATGATTTCCCAGCTAGGGCCCTGTGTGAGTCAGAGTCATCCTGGGTGTGTTGCAGCAAACTTGTTTCAAGTGGCCTTCTTTGGCTACTTGAAAGCAGGAGGGTGGAGGCTTTGGTGGCCCAGAGGCAAGAGGAGGAAGGGCAGTTGCCACGTGGTGTAGACAGGTTCGGTGGGGAGAGCAGAAGCTAGAGATGTTCATAAACAGTGGGCCAGAAGAATCCCGGGAAACTCACTTGGGAGTGTTAGACTTTCCAAGTTTTAGAAAGTTCTACAAGTTTTCAGACTTTACCAGTTTACTGAGTGTCCCCTTCTAAGTTTGTCCAAATGCCTCAGCTGTCATTACTATGAGTGATCCCACAGCCCCCCTACTAGATGCATACTCTGAGAGGAAATAGTGTGCAAAGACTATCTGGGAGTGAGACTGGCTTGGTCCCTTAATGGCCGGGTGAGACCTGTGAGCTGAGGAGGACTAGCCAGGTGGACTGGGTGGGCAGGCAGTAAGAGATGCAGGGAAGAGATCAGCCCAGGCAGAGGAAGCAGCTTGTGCAACATTCTGAACAGAGGAAGAGATATTTTTGTCTGATGACCACTGAATAGTCATTGTTAGCAGTTCTGCAGGTCATAATGGCAGTGTTTCTGGAATCCCCATGTAAATACTCAGGGTACTAGAAATGGTGTTAATTAAGCCCCATGTTGGGTTGCAGATGTAGCCATTCTCCATCCTTTGTGTGGAGTTCATGACCTGGTATCTCATTTCTGTGAATACCCACTGTGCTTGTGCCACTTCCTCTTTTGAAGTGAGCCCTGGCAATGCCTTGTGCTGGTTTCCTTTTTTTTTTTTTTTTTGAGACGGAGTCTCGCTCTGTCGCCCAGGCTGGAGTGCAGTGGCCGGATCTCAGCTCACTGCAAGCTCCGCCTCCCGGGTTCACGCCATTCTCCGGCCTCAGCCTCCCGAGTAGCTGGGACTACAGGCGCCCGCCACCTCGCCCAGCTAGTTTTTTTTTTTTTTTGTATTTCTTAATAGAGACGGGGTTTCACCGTGTTAGCCAGGATGGTCTCGATCTCCTGACCTCCTGATCCGCCCGTCTCGGCCTCCCAAAGTGCTGGGATTACAGGCTTGAGCCACCGTGCCCGGCCAGTGCTGGTTTCCTAATGTTGCCTGGCATCACTTGGCAGAGAAAGAAAGTAGCAGCTAATTCCTTTTTGTCTTGGTAGACACCTCAGCTTGTGCCCTGGAAGCCTTACTCCTCTCAAAAACATCTGGCCGGGTGTGGTGGCTCACTCTTATAATCCCAGCACTTTGGGAGGCCAAGGTGGGCACATCACTTGAGGCCAGGAGTTCGAGACCAGCCTGGCCAACATGGCAAAACCTTGTCTCTACTAAAAATATAAAAATTAGCTGGGCGTGGTGGCGGTGCACCTGTAATTCCAGCTACTCAGGAGGCCGAGGCATGAGAATCACTTGAGTCCAGGAGGCAGAGGTTGCAGTGAGCGGAGATTACGCCATTGTACTCCAGCTTGGGTGACAGAACAAAACTCCTCAAAAAAAAAACAAAACAAAACATCTGGTCAGAAGCTCCATTCTCACTTTCTTTCCTTCCTACAAAATTTTCTGCTTGGAAAGTAGGTCTATAAATCAGGAAATTGATAACAACAATTAATATGTTGGAAAAGTGAACATTTATATATCTCCATTGATGGAGCCTAGCTTCTGGGTAGGCTTTTCTCTATCTTGAGCATACCACTTACCGCTTTGTTTTTGTTCTTAGAAATTACGACTTTGCATGGAGAAAGTTGACCAGAAAGCTCCAGAATACATCAGGATGGCAGCATCATTAAAGTAAGCTATTCATCTATGTTTTTCTAATCCAGTGGTGACTGTTTTCTGGCATCTTAGGTCAGTTCTCCAGTAGCCAAAAATGAAAATCTTAACTTCAACTGTGCTTTTTTTCTGAGACCGGCTGAAGTTGGTTTTTTTCCACTTTTGGCTGTTATGAAGAGAATCACCTTCATGTCTGTCTTTTAGTGGAGTACATGTTACCATCACATGAGCTTGTAAAAAGACAGCCACATTCAGTTGACCTTGGCTATTCTGACTGAGCAGGCTTGGGAAGGGCCTCAGACAATAGGTACTGCTGCTGAGTGCAGCATCTGGACAGAGCAGAGGAAGGGCAGTGGGTGTCATGCTCATGCCTGGGTAGATGCCACTTGAGTGTCACATTGAGGTGTCAGGGCTTAAAGTAGGCATGTCCATTAGAGCAGGGGCTGGCAGACTGCAGCCCATGGGCCAAATGTATCCTGCTTTTTTTTTGTTTTTGAGACAGAGTCTCACTGTTGACAGGCTGGAGTGCAGTGACGTGATCTTGGCTCACTGCGACCTCCACCTCCCGGGTTCAAGTGATTCTCCTGCCTCAGTCTCTCAAGTAGCTGGGACTACAGGCACACACCACCACACCCAGCTAATATATATATATATATTTTTTGGCAGGGGGAGGCATGGAGTCTTGCTCTGTCGCCCAGGCTGGAGTGCAGTGGCGCAATCTCGGCTCACTGCAACCTCCACCTCCTGGATTCGAGCAATTCCCCTGCCTCAGCCTCCCGCGTAGCTGGGATTACAGGCGCACGCCAACATGCCCTGCTAATTTTTTTATATTTTTAGTAGAGACGGGGTTTCACCATGTTGGCCAGGATGGTCTTGATCTCCTGACCTCATGATCCACCCACCTCAGCTTCCCAAAGTGCTGGGATTACAGGCGTGAGCCACTGCCCTTGGCCAACATCTGCTTCTTTTTTAAAATCGAGATGTAGTTCATACACTATAAACTTTACCCTTTTAAAGTGTACAGTTCGGTGGTTTTTAGTGTATTCACAAAATTATGCGAACATTACCACTGTCTTCATTCTAAACATTTTCATCACCCCAATAGGAAACCCCATACATTAGCAGCCACTGCCCTTTCCCCATCTCCCTGGACACCACTAATCTATTTCCTGTCTCTATGGATTTGTTTGTTTTTGACATTTCATATAAATAGAATCATAAATATAAAATCTCTCTTGTCTGGCTTCTTTCACAAAGTGTAATGTTTTTAAGATTCATCCATGTTGTTGCATATATCAGTACTTCATTGCATCTGTATGAATGCGTTGTGTGGATACTTGTCACATTTTGTTGATCCATCAGTTGTTGAACATTTGGTATTTTTCCACTTTTGGCTGTTATAAATAATGCTTCTGTAATATTTGTGTACAAGTTTTTATGGTTTTTGTGTAGACATGTTTTCATTTCTCTCGGGTAGGTACCTAGGAGTGGAATGGCTGGGTTTTATGCTAACTATATATTACCATAGAGTAACATTCCATAGAGGAGTTGCTAAATCGTTTTCTAGAATGACTGCACTATTTTGAATTCCCACTAGCAGTGTATGAGGGTTTCACTTTCTTTTTAGCCTTACCAATACTAGTTATTACCACCTGTTTGCATAAAGTTTTATTGGAACACAGCCATGCCCATGTTTGATTACTGGTTGTAGCTGCTTTTGTACCACCACGACAGAGTTGAATAGCAACAACAGAGACTTTGTGGCCTGCAAAGCTGAAAACATTTATGATTTGGCTCCTTATGGAAAAAATTTGCTGATCCCTGTTTAAGGGCATGGCTTTTTCTGAAGCTTAGTGTTTGTGACCTAGAAGTTGAAGTGCTAACTACTAGAGTCAGATCCCAGCAGTGTTTTCCCAACCTATAGGAAAAGAATTAATTATGGTATCCAGTGTTATTAATTTCAGAGTTTTCTGACTTTGTCTTAAACCTGTGTTGCCTCTCTGCCACATTTAAAGCAATGCATGTAGCAGTAGATGTGCCTTGTTTAAAACAAAACCATGTGTGTGTGTGTGTGTGTGTGTGTGTGTATATATATATATTTTCTTTTTCTTGAGACCAAGTTTTGCTCTGTCGCCTAGGCTGGAATGCAGTGTGCGACCTTGGCTCACTGCAACCTCCGCCTCCTGGTTCAAGCGATTCTCCTGCCTCTGCCTCCTGAGTAGCTGGGATTACAGGCACCCACTATGATGTCTGGCTAATTTTTGTATTTTTAGTAGAGACGGGGTTTCATCGTGTTGGCCAGGCTGGTCTCGAACCTCCTTGGGTACTTTTAAGCGAGAAAAGCCAAGTCGTTTTCTGCTTTTAATGTAACCAACTGATTTAGTAAACCACTTCTAACATCTTGTTAGAGGCAGTGGAATTGTTTAGAGAAAGTAGGCCAGAGTAAATTCAGCCGCATTTGTTTTGGTGATGAGCATAAGGGCTAGTCCTTGGAGGCGTCAACCTGAGTCTGTCCCTATTGTGTCTGCAAATCGAAACATCACTTCCACTTGATTCATCATTCCAAGAGATGGACACTGCATTATATCCAAAAGTCTGAAATGCCACCTTTAGAGAATTACCTGCCTTTGTGAGGCCTTACACCTTTAGCGTCCTTCTACACTATGCTGGCCAGTCTGCACTATGAAACTTAGGTCACGTGTCTCTGTGGTTTCTCCTTAGTGCTGGGGAGACAACCTACAGTCTGGAACATGCCAGTGACCTTCGAGTGGAAGTGCAGAAAGTGTATGAGCTGATAGACGCTTTAAGGTAAGGTCCATTAAGTGGTATCCTGCCCGCTGGTGGAATGGAGAAGATGCTGTTCTAATGAAATGGCGAAAGTAGACCTGCACTCACTCACACTTCTGGTGATGGGGCAGTGGGTGAGGAGGAGGGCAAGGAAGGGGCCAACTCTGGCACTTAATGCATCTCAGTGACTTTTGTTTCATTAAGGATTTCTAATGTTTGTTATTGTTAAAGAAAGAGGAGCTAGTTATTGACACCTATCATGTGCTAGTCACTGGCTGTTTTCTCTAGAATAGCTCATTTATTCTGAAGTTACCCTGTGAGGTAGGGATTAACATCCTGTGTCAAAGGTGAGGAATCATGTCACAGATAGCAAAAGTTGTGGAGCAAAGATAGAAACTCGGGTTCTTTCTTTGTGTCTGTGCTCAAATCCACAACTGCTTTTTAACTGTGGACTGGCCATCGGGGTTAAATTAGCCCTTTGATTTATGGGAAGTACAGTGACTCAGAGGGAGAATGAGATGAGGCGCTTTTGTCCATCCAGACATACAGCATGGGCTGCGTAGATGCAGGGCCTGGTACAAAGTGAAAATGCATGTCCCCTGTCCAAAAATGATTAAGAATAAAGACACTAACAGCAGAGCATTAAACTAAGCATAGGGCTCTTTGAAGTGCCAGTCCTTTCTAGTTGCATAGGTTGCTCATCTGTGAAGCTGGCTCTGCATGTGTAGTCAGTCCCTCCATGACAGTGTTGTGCGCCCTGTGCTGAGGCCTGTGTACGGCCAAAGGGTAAGAAGTGGGCTTTGCTTTCAAGGAAACTTCGATGGAGTCACTTGCCCATCTTTACACACCTTCCTGGCATGAAAGCCTGGCAACTCCACATGTTACACTTTTCACCCTTGTTTCTGAAGCTGGCAGTGCTCATTATATTCATGTGTTTGTTCCAATTCAGTAAGAAGATCTTAACCTTGGGCTTGAACCAGGACCCTCCACCACATCCAAGCAATTTGCGGCTGCAGAGAATGATCAGATACTCAGCTACACTTTTTGTGCAGGTAAAGCCATCCTGGGTTGGCATAAATGTCATGCTTGGCCTGTCCTGCTCTTTTGCTTCCCCAGAGGCAGATCCATGCCAGTGACTTGTTTACTTCCTATTTATACATTGTATTATTTTTTGAAATTATGAATGCATGATGCCACACTTAAGAGAAAAATCTGGATTTCAGAGAAAACTAAAACTACTTTTAATCCTATGTCCCCATTACAATCACTCATTATTCTGGTATGTTTTCTTTTCTCCTATTTGTATTTTTTATATACAGTATTTACAATAGTGCATATTGACTGTATATGCCATTCTTTAACCGTTTTCCTTTAGTTGAGCATTTGATAGACTAATTTTTTGCTGCTGTTAATTGTTGCCATGATAGTAATACTGGTACTTAGTATTTCTTCCTTAGGATAATCTCCTAAGAGACTTCCTGAGCCATCAGCTGGGAGGAAACAGCCGATTAAGGGCAGACTAACCTAAGTGGTTAGGTCTGAATTGTGTCTTTCTACCCGTGAAGGCCCCTTCTGAGAGAGTCACAGTTAACCACCCTTGGGGCTCTCTGACAAAGAGATCTTTTTTTTGTCTTTTTTTTTTTTTAATTAAAGTGTTTTTTTCTTTTTTTTTCTTTTATTAAGTAGGGACAGGGTCTTACCATGTTGCCCAGGCTGGTCTCAAACTTTTGAGCTCAAGCAGTCTGCCCACCTCGGCCTCCAAAGTGCTGGGATTATAGGCGTGAACCACACTGCCCCCAGCCAACAAAGAGATCTAATAGATAGAGTCCTGTTGGGTTAGTTTTCTGACTTTGTAATACAGAGAAGTAGGTCCTTCCTCACTTTGATTAGTGATTCTATTCAGCAATCATTTATTGAGCGCCTCCTATATACCAGGTAGTGTTTTAGGTGCTGGATGTCCTATAGTGAACAAAAAAGACCAGTGTTCCTGTTCTCATTAAGCTTGTGTTCTAAAGAAGGGGAGAGATCACAAACAACTAAAATATTTAGTATATAAGTTAGCAAAAGTGCTGTGGAGAAATTTAGCAAGGAAGTGTGGGAGAGAGGACTGGGATTGAGGTTTGCTAATAGGATGGGCAGGGACAAGACCTCATAGAGAAGCTAACATTGGAGCCAGGTGAATAACTGGGATATCTGATGTTGATCATTTCATGAGGAAAATGCAGGCCCATTTGGAGTTGACTCTCACCCAGTATAAGAGTGTGCTCCTTTCCGGCTGCTGTCAAATGATGTCACTCTCGGAGAATAGAGTGGCTCAGCTTAAGCAAACTCTCATCATGGGGCTTAAGGGTCATTTTTTCTCTAAAAGGGTTTAAGTGTAAAATTGTCTGTCACTCCCTGCAGGAAAAGTTGCTTGGTTTGATGTCACTGCCAACCAAAGAACAGTTTGAGGAACTGAAAAAGAAAAGGAAGGAGGAAATGGAGAGGAAGAGGGCCATGGAGAGACAAGTGAGTGAAGCCAGGGATATGGGGCCCGCTTCCTCCTGTGGCTCTCAAGCACAGAGGCTGCCGTGAGCTCCCAGGTTGTGTGGGGTTGTAGTGAATCAGAACCTCTCTCTCAAATGTGCATATTTCTTCTGTTGTGTTTCAGCCTCACTTTTATCTATGGGAACTAGAATAATTGTTTTTCTCCCCAGGTCCTATTTTTCTTTCAGAGCTTCTGCTGATTCTCTCATGGCTAGAATATCACAGAGATTGACAGTTCTCCCTATGGCAGAAGTTGCAGAGGACCAAGACATTAGGAAGTTCCTTGTAGAACATATTGGTATATGCAATATTAAACAGAAAATTATATGTGTATTTAACGCTGTGTGAGATTCCAGTGTAGATGAGGGGAACAGACCTCAGAGGTTTAAGAAGAGTATATGGCCTGTGAATCTAAGATTGAGAAAATCTGATGCCCTAACTTATTCATTATATTTTATTTTTATTTTTGAAAATCAGGGTCTCCCTTCTGCCCACATATACACAAAAACATGACTTGATTTTAGCAGTTGGATATCTTTGTCCTGAGGTGAGAAATTGGAGTGTCACTGGCACAGGGATAGAGGGACAACAGAGGGTGGGTGACAGTGTGGGCTGCTGCCAGCATGGTGACTATTTCTTCTCTCTGCTTTGCTCTCTCCCCAGGCTGCCCTGGAGTCTCAGCGAAGGCTTGAGGAAAGGCAGAGTGGCCTGGCTTCTCGAGCAGCCAATGGGGAGGTGGCATCTCTCCGCAGGGGCTCTGCCCCCTTGAGAAAGGCTGAGGGCTGGCTCCCGCTGTCAGGAGGTCAGGGGCAGAGTGAGGACTCAGACCCGCTCCTCCAGCAGATCCACAACATCACATCATTCATCAGGCAGGCCAAGGCCGCGGGCCGCACGGATGAAGTGCGCACCCTGCAGGAGAACCTGCGGCAGCTGCAGGACGAGTATGACCAGCAGCAGACAGAGAAGGCCATCGAGCTGTCCCGGAGGCAGGCTGAGGAGGAGGACCTGCAGCGGGAACAGCTGCAGATGCTGCGTGAACGGGAGTTGGAACGAGAAAGGGAGCAGTTTCGGGTGGCATCCCTGCACACACGGACTCGGTCCCTGGACTTCCGAGAAATCGGCCCTTTTCAGCTGGAGCCCAGCAGAGAGCCTCGCACCCACCTTGCTTATGCTTTGGATCTAGGCTCTTCCCCAGTTCCAAGCAGCACAGCTCCCAAGACCCCTTCACCTAGCTCAACTCAACAGCCCACCAGAGTGTGGTCTGGGCCCCCAGCCCTTGGCCAGGAGCTCTTAACCCAGAGCAGCATGCCACAGCAACATGAGGGGCCCTCCTTAAACCCCTTTGATGAGGAAGACCTCTCCAGCCCCATGGAAGAGGGCACTACTAGTCCTCCTGCTGCAGGGGTTTCCTTCGACCCTTCAGCCCGCATGCTGAAAGAGTACAATCCTTTCGAGGAAGAGGACGAGGAGGAGGAGGCAGTGGCAGGGAATCCATTCATTCAGCCAGACAGCCCAGCTCCTAACCCCTTCAACGAGGAAGATGAACATCCCCAGCAGAGGCCCTCAAGCCCTCTGGTTCCTGGCAACCCCTTTGAGGAACCCACCTGTACCAACCCCTTTGAGATGGACAGTGACAGTGGGCCGGAGGCTGAGGAGCCCATAGAGGAAGAGCTCCTCCTGCAGCAGATCGATAACATCAAGGCATACATCTTTGATGCCAAGCAGTGTGGCCGCCTAGATGAGGTAGAGGTGCTGACAGAGAACCTGCGGGAGCTGAAGCACACCCTGGCCAAGCAGAAGGGGGGCACTGACTGATCAGCAGTGGAGAGGGCACCTTTGGGCCCAGGGGTCTGGCAGGAGCCAGTGGAGCAGGACAGAGGGCAGGCAGGGTGGATGGGGAAGGTGGCAGGGTGAGAAGTCAGATGCACACAGGTGAGGGACAGGAATCTGCTGTTTTGTGTTGTGCACTTTGAGGTGTTTCCACTACAGTTGAATAATAGAATAGAAACTAGAACAGGGAGAATCAGCATTTATTTGCTGTTTTTCCTGTTTATTATTACTATCTTTTGTAATTGGAGGTTTACCCCTTTTGAAAGGACTTTACATTTTTACTATGGAGATATAACTAAATGCAGCTCTGTTGGGCCCAGGGCAGAAATGGCTGCTGTGTACCTCTTGGGTCTATTTGCTACTGCCTAGTCTTGGTTCCTTTTGCAGTATTATAGGGCAGCCTTTATAGAGCCCTTCTTTAGCCAAGACAGAGAAGATAGATTCCACTGAGCTATATTCTGCTCTGACAGAAGTCCATCCCTAGTAGGCTGTGAGTTCCATTTCACCTGGGGCCGCCTCTCCCCTGCTCTGCGCTTCCTGTCTGTACAATAGCAGGGGGAAGTGCTGCTATGAAGGGGAGAGTTTAGACCCAGGAGAGCCCAGCACCTCTTTTTAAGGTGGGGTGATGGGAACATTTCACCAGGGTCTATTTTCTCAGTTTAAGTTGTTTTTTGTCTCTTTCAGGAAGTTAAGCTGCCAGTGCAGGGTATCAATGTGAATCTGGTCCTGAGCTTTTTAGAAAATAAGAGTGGTTAACTTTTTGGTTGATACTAGTATTACTTGTGAGAAGAGTTTCCCCACCCTTGTTCTGATGGAACAATTGTCTGTCACTGGAGAAATCTCCCTCCAGAGCTTTGGCAAAGTTACTCTGATCTGGGTCTGTTTAAAAGGCCTGGTCTCTAATTTAGGAATCGGTGATCTGGAAGCTTTTGCAAAACATCACCAGAAGAAGGGAAGCTTCCCAGAGTCAGAAGCTAAATTAAAATAATTTCCAAGGCTATTTGATCAGCCTTCTTCCCTTTTGGTTCATTGTGTTCTGACCTGGGGCACTGATGAGATTTTTTTTTTTTTTTTTTTTTTTTTGAGACAAGAGTCTCACTTTGTTGCCCAGGCTGGAGTGCAGTAGCATGATCTCAGCTCACTGCAACCTCCACCTCCCCAGTTCAAGTGATTCTTGTGTCTCAGCCACCTGAATAGCTGGGATTACAGGTGTGGACCACCATGCCTGGCTAATCTCTGTATTTTTAGTAGAGATGGGGTTTCACCGTTTTGACCAGGCTGGTTTTGAACTCCTGGCCTCAAGTGATCTGCCATCTTGGCCTCCCAAAGTGCTGGGAATACAGGCGTGAGCCACTGTGCCCGCCCTGATGAGATGTTTTATTACCAACGTTAGTATTAAGAAACTGAAATGTTTGAAGAAGTACAACCCAGGATCGTGCTGGTAGCACCCACAGTACTTAACTATTAGTCAATTAAGACCAGAAAGGGAAATTGTTAATTTAGCTCTGGTGCTTTGGTTTACAGGAACATAACCCTTAACTGACATCTGACATCATGATAGCCACATGTGCTCAGCTCCGGGTAGAGTTTCTGCAGTTACTCATCTTAACTAATGAACAATAACTGACCACTGGTCACTTTATGCCCTGTAACTAGCTTTAGGCCATACTTTCACTGGTTACTGGTGTGAGAGCTGAAATTAATTTTGTTACATTCTGGTGAAGATCCCTCTTGATAATGGGAATGTTTGAACTCTCTTGATGAAAAAATAATCTGTATTTGTGTTGATGTTCACATTTCTGTATCACATTTCTTACCCTTTGGTTGAATGAAAAGGTCTTGTATATATAGGGTGTGGAGACGGGGAGTGGGGACCCTTTGCATTTGGGATCTGTTCACAAACAGCCATACGAGTGGGTTAACGAATGTCAGCCAATTACCAGCCCTGCTGGTGGTTATGGGTTGTTTTGAGAAGTTGGCAACCAGGCATCTAAGATGTTGCCTGGTACAGGCCTCTTTTCTTCCCTGAGGCCCATGACATTTCTCTGATACTCCAGAGGGTTTCCCAGATGGCCAGTAGGCTCCTCCCTGCTTAGGCTCTCATTTCTCTGAAAAGAGGATGAACTGAAAAGCAGGTAGTTTCAGAAGCTAATTGCTGCTTTCCATCATAATTATTTTTCTTGTGAGAACATTTCTCTTTTAATTAGCTAGTGATTTTGATTAACACTAATTCACTAAACATACCCCTTCCCTCAAATCACCTCAGGTAACAATCTGTAAGTAACTAAAAGCATTGAGAAACACACAAGAAACATTTTTTAAACCTATTTTTAAAGGCCCGGCTGGGTGCAGTGGCTCATGCCTGTAATCCCAGCACTTTGGGAAGCCGAGGCGGGTGGATCACCTGAGGTCAGGAATTTGAGACCAGCATGGCCAACATGGTGAAACCTCGTCTCTACTAAAAATACAAAAATTAGCTGGGCGTGGTGGCAGACGCCTGTAATCCCAGCTACTCAGGGAGGCTGAGGCACAAGAATCGCTTGAACCTAGGAGGCGGAGGTTGCAGTCAGCCAAGATTGCACCACTGCACTCCAGCCTGGGTGAGAAGAGCAAGACTCCGTCTCACGAAAAACAAACAAAACTGACTCATTGAATATACTAAACCAAACTAAAATCATGTTATTTTGATTAAGTTTATCCATGGCTGTATTCTTCTATGAATTCTTCCATTTAATTCTTCCATGATTATCTTCTCCTGTAAATATATACATCACAGGAGTTAGAATTCTCTACCCATCAGCTGTACCATGTCGCAGAATTCATGCAGGCACAAAGTTGGAGTTACAGAGATGGGTTGACAGCAGGGAAAACTTGGCCTATGTATTATAACCACAACTTCAAGTTCTTACCTCATGTGAATATTCACCCTTCCTTTAGTCTTCCAAGGCAAATAGCCCCATCTCATCACCAAATGAGCAAGGTCTTGATACGGCATAGCAGATCTCCCTAAACACAGATCATGAGAAAAGATGGAAGAGACTTAGGGATTCAGGCATCAGATGAAGTTGGCTTTTCCCTTTTATGCCTTGTTTGTATTTCCCCCTGTCTAATACACTAAGGATACTTACTCATTGTACTTGCAGCTCAATATGTCTTTGCTGTTCAGATACTAAACTGTATCTCTGAGTAATTGTGAGCTGTGCAGTAGGTTGGACATTGTCATAGTTGGTGATGGGACTCAAAATGAAAAGGTGGTCTCTTTACCAGGTCACAGACTGTAGCAGATTGTGCTTGTTATCTGACAATGACTGTCACTTTGAGGGTCGTTGATTTGCATGCACTATTCTGGGGCCTTGTATTGAAGCCTTTTTTAAAAAAAATAAAATCTGAGATAGAGGTTGGGGGTGTGTGTGTCTGTGTGCACGTGTGTTACAAGTGAGAATCATCAGATGACATCTCTTCTTTCTTGATGACAACCATCTGAGTATCAGAATAGTTCCAGCACCTGTGTTGTTTGTCTGGTTAAGGCCTCTGGAAAAAATGAAGGTCACTGGGCTCTGAACAGGGGATAGATACGGGTTCCAGTTCTGCCCTTATTCCCAGTTATTCCTGCAGTGCTGGTTAAATGAACAGTTTTACACAGTATAGTGCAGATCCCTTAATGATCCTATCATCCCTGTTTCACACTGGAAGAAACTGAGGCTCAGAGATTGAGGAACCTTGTGATTGCCATCTGCCAGTCACCACCCCTGCATGACCACATTTCCCTCCATCGGCTTTACCAGCATGCCTGTGAGGGAGGTAGTTACTCAGCTGTTCTTCTGACCCTAGATGCAGAAAAGTTAAGAGAGATTAGCCTGGCTTAGGCCACACAGCCAGTCAGTGGTGGAATGAGGGTTTAAATCCAGATCTGCCTGGCTTACTTTGCCCTCAGTAACAAGTAGCTGGGTCAGGTGGTGGTTTGGTGGTGGTGGGTGCTCAACCATTGTGTCAAGCTCACAAGAGGGCAGAAAAGGGCAATGGGGAATGAGGTTGGGTGCTGCTGAGCTGGTTTCTGATAGTGACTTTACCTGAGTCTGTGAAACAGATCTCCTTAGGGCCTATGCAGATTCTTAAACCAGGAGAGTATAATATGTAGTGCTCACTATAGGCTAGACTGAGTGCTAAGTATTATGCATGGCTTACCTCAGTCTTCCCAACAACCCATTTACAGATGCGGAAATAAGTGAGTGGTGAAGTTAAGCTTGCTTAGGGTTGCACTGCTGGGTTTCCAGCCTAGGTCTGTCTGACTGCAAAACCCAAGCGGCCCTAGATTGTGTTGTATGTGGACACCCATGTTTCTAACGTGGAATGGGGTGTTTCATCCCTAGTAACTGCCTCCAGTGGACTTTTAAGATGAAAAACTTGTGCGTAACTCTTCAGGAAGCCTAGTGTAGTTGTAAAAATACTTCAGAAAGCACTTCCGGTTTTGGCTCAGATACATAGAGTTTGAAAGTTATCCTATCCTTACCACAAGAAAAAGCTGGGCAAACCAAATCAATGGCCTTTCTTGGTCCCATTAGAGAGCTGAGTGTGCAAGTCAAACTGCCATCCCAAAATCTGGAGAGAGGTGAGTCCAGAGAGTCAGCAAGATCTGATTGGAGCAGAAGCCATGGGAGCCATAGCTAGTAGGAAAACTTAAATGGTAATTTTGAGGAACTGCTGGAGGTTGAGTGTGGACTAGCATGGGAGTGAGCAACTCTCCCTCACCCCCAACGCTTTCCTGGGTTTTACTCGACTTGGTTCTCTTGGTGAAGAACTGAGAAAGACCCTCTGGTGGCTCTGGCGGGAAAGGGAGAATCATCTTTGTAACCACAGCCTTCTCCATAACAAAGCTTATTCCCCAGAGGAAAGCACTTTTTCACAGAGCCTTATCCCATCTGGAGGAGGGCATTTCTCCCATTCCAGCCCCCTCTAGCCTTCCTGGGTCATGTAAGGGGGGTACAAAGGGGAATTAAGAAACACTTGTGAGCCAGTGCGGTGGCTGACACCTGTAATTCCAGCACTTTGGGAGGCCGAGGTGGGCAGATTGCTTGAGCCCAGGAGTTGAAGACCAGTCTGGGCAATATAGCGAAACTTCATCTTTATAAACAATACAAAAATTAACCAGGCATTGTGGCACGTGCCATAGTCCAAGCTACTCGGGACTGAGGTGGGAGAATTGCTTGAGCCTGGGAAGTAGAGGCTGCAGTGAGCTGTGATTGCACCACTGTACTGCACTCCAGCCTGGGTGATAGAACAAGACACTGCCTCAAAAAAAAAAAGAAAAAACCTTGTATAGGTCACAGCCCAAGGACACAAGCCCACTAAAATGCTGAGATTTAATCATAAGATTATAGAATGCTTTACCTCCCCCATGTTTTTCCACCATATCAACAGGACTCCAGGATAGTAACAGTGAGTTACAGCTGGAAGAGCTGCAAGACATGGACTCTCTCGGGAGGAATATCCAGGGAAGCCCAAAGGCAAGAGGAGATAAACACAAAGACACTAGAGGAACTGGAAGCTTCTGACACCTACAGCTATGGCAAACATTAAACACAGCTCTCAACTCTGAGTCAGATTAACATAAGTTCTCATTCTAGAGGCTTATTTACCCCAGTTCTTATGGCCCAATAGAGTGGATATTCTACTTTCAACAAAAAAAATTATAAGCATGCTAAAAGGCAAGGAAAAAAAATAAACCCAATAATCAGATGAAACAAAGCAAACATCAGAACCACACTCACATGTTGGAATTATCAGACAAGAAATTTAAAATGTGGTCTGTTAAGGGGTCTAATGGTAAAAGTAAACAACATACAAGAACAGATGGGTAATGTAAACAGAGATAAGAAAACTAAGAATCATGCCAGATGCAGTGGTTCACACCTATAATCCCAGCACTTTGGGAGACTGAGGCAGGCAGATCACTTGAGGTCAGGAGTTTAAGACCAGCCAGGCTAACATGGTGAAACCCTGTCTCTACTAAAAATACAAAAATTAGACTGGGCACAGTGGCTCATGTCTGTAATCACAGCACTTTGGGAGAGGCCAAGGCGGGTGGATCACCTGAGGTCAGGAGTTCAAGACCAGCCTGGCCAACATGGTAAAACCCCGTCTCTACTAGAAATACAAAAATTAGCTGGGTGTGTTGGTGGGCAGCTGTAATCTCAGTTACTCAGGAGGCTGAGGCAGGAGAATCACTTGAGCCTTCTGAGTAGCTGGGACCACAGGCGCTGCCCCTACACCCGGCTTTTTTTTGTATTTTCGGTAGACATGGGGTTTCGCCGTATTGGGCAGGCTAGTCTCGAATTCCTGACCTCAAGCACTCTTCCCGCCTCGGCCTCCCCAAAGGCTGGGTTTACAGGCAGGAGCCACCGCGCCTGGCCCTAGAAATGCATGTCACCCATAGTTTGTTTATGAGAAAATTGAGGTCCTGAGTTGTTAAGTGGCTGAACTTAGGAAGCAATTGATCCCAAACCATTTTTTTTTCTTTTGCTAAGAAGTTTAAGTCAATGTCAGAAAGTGCAGTTTGAACTCTTCATGTTAAAGCTGGAGATGTTCAGGGAGAAAAATGGACTTTAGGTTCAATAGAATGTTATCAGCTGATTTGATATCCAAACTCAGTTTTCCTGATTATTTCTTATTGCAATGTCTGACATTTAGCCTATGTAAAAATATTTTCCCGTTAGTGGATGGGGAAATTACTAACTTACAGGACGCGAAAACCTAAATCTTCCAAGCGGAAGGAGTCCTAAAGCTAAGATGCACACGCCGGCCCTCGCCGCGCCAGGTCGAAGGCCGCCTACGAGTCCCAGGGTGCTCCGCGGCGTGCACTGCCCTCCGGGAAGCGTCTCCTGTGCGTCTGCGCGGGAGGTGGAACCTGGCTCTGGGGAGAAGCGGCGTGAGATCCGCGCCGGGTGCTAGCTAGTCCTTCTCGTCGCTGTTCGGCGCGCCCAGTGGGGTCGGCCCCGCCACCGTCGCCGCCATGCCCATGAAAGGCCGCTTCCCCATCCGCCGCACCCTGCAATATCTGAGCCAGGGAAACGTGGTGTTCAAGGAGTCCGTGAAGGTCATGACAGTGAATTACAACACGCACGGGGAGCTGGGCGAGGGCGCCAGGTCAGTCGCAGCCCCGGCAGCCGTAACCTGCTACTCGTGCCAGCCTGTTGGTAACGTGAGGTCCCTAGTCGCGCTGGGCGCCCGCTCAGCCCCGGGGCAGGCCCCCCAGGTCGGCGCTGTTATCCCCATTTTACAGAGGTCGAGACTGAGGCGGACGGCGGGGCCCCCGCCAGGCCGGCTGCAGTCGTGACGAGGTTTGCGGGGCGGAGGACAAGAACCCCCCTCCTAGATCTCCTTCCTCCGGCGCGGTGGGCGAGGCTGACCCGAGGGAGGCCACCGGTTCCCTTGGCCCCTGTGGCCAGCAAGGCAAGCGCTGGGGAGGGGCAGCCGCAGATCCTTTCGGGGTGACGGGAATGACACCCCTGCCCCAGGACGAATCTGAGAATAAAATGAGAGAAATAACAGCTGCGAACACTGATCATGTCTCGCACAGTTCTGAATGCTTCTCGCGCTTTCTCTCTTCTGATGCCTACAGAAACCCCAGCTTACCGCCACTCTAAGGCTGGGGAAGTGCACAGAGAGGTTAAATAACTTGCGGCTCCCCGAGACACCATGGCAGCCAGTGAGCGGTGAGCCGGGCTGTGTGGCCAGGAGTAAGTGAAAGCGCTTCCTTCGGGACTCAAGGTTTGGAAGTAATTAATTATGTCAGCTGTGCAGCAGCAGGCCCTACCCCGACTAGAGGGAGCTATAGGGGACGCCTAGGATGTCTTTCAGCTTGGAACAGAGCAGGGACTCATTGAATGGCAGTTGGCAAGTGAAAGGTTTGGATTGACCCTGAGGCCGCGTGCCTTAGGCTCTGCAGGTATGAAGTCTACATTTATTGAGTACCCTCTGAGTGCTAGGCTGTGTGCTGTGTGCTGGGAGTTCAGCAGTGATGGAGGAGACTGCCTTAGCCCGCAGAAACTTTGGGACTGGGTGTATGTTGGATCAAAATGAGGCGTGGAGCAACTCCCTGTGGGGCATGGTGCCCTTGGTGACGGACCTTCACTGCATGGCCCTTCAGGAGAGCCAGAAGCCACTTCCTAGCCATTTGCTCTGCGCAGGTGAATCTGAGAACTTGGACCTGCTTGCCTGGAATCAGCTGGCTTGATGGCTTCCTGGAAGACTTGGTCTTGGTCTTAGGGTGAATGGGCACCCAGACACTCCTTCATAACCTACTGCACGACTGTGCACACCTCTGTCCCAGGGCAACTGCCAGGCAGATAATGGGAAGGGGTGGGGGTCTCGATGCGGCCCGCAGCGAGCTGGAGAGCACTTGCCCTATCCGGAGGGCCCTTCACTGTTTGGCACTGTGGGCTCCGTGGAGAATTTCTGATTTGTCAAGAAGCTGAAATCCGGATTTTTATGTAAATCTCTGGCTTTTAAATGGTCAGCCAATCAAAATAAGCCTGTGAGCCTCTTACATTCTCAAATATTTTAATATTCTCTAGGTAAATGGGATATAAAGAACCATTTGCTGTTTCTTTGTTCCTGGTGGTAGGGACTGGCCTGTGCCACCTGTGCCCTCTGTGATCTTGTGCCCATGGGTTGGAGTCTGTCTGCCTTGCTCTGGCTAGCCGCACTCCTCCCCCAATCCCCAGCCCTTGTTTGTTCATGTGCCCTCAGCATTTCAGCTGCCCCACTGGGACCTACCTCCATCCCAGGTGCCTGCGACCGGTACGGCCAGTCTTTGGGTACCTGCTGGGGGGAGTGGGCAGGTGCCTTATTTAGTATCTGAGGGCCAAGTCCCTACTCACCCCTGCCAGGTGTTCTACCCTTAAGAAGTGGCCCCAAGCCTCAGGGTGAATTTGATGGTGACAGAACAGTGTGATGGAAGGCCACACTAACAGCCCAGCTAGACCTGGGTCAGTTTACTTAACTTCTGACCTCAGTTTCCTTACTAATTGTAAAATCCCACCTTCTGGGGTTGGAGAGTCAGGTGCCTAGCAAAGTGTCTGGCATATACAGCAGGTGCCCAACTTAAGGTTCCTGCCATTATTTACTTTCCTCCTGTGTTTCAGCAAGAACCGTTTTAAGATCTCTGTTGCATTTCTGTCCTAGTAGTTTAAAGTATGGGACTGTCTCACCTGGCTGTGTCCTGGTTTATTTGTAAAAAGTTCTGTGACGCTGGGATACTCTGCAGTGGGGTGGGAACTGATCAGAGGCTTCCTACGCCCCGGAAGGTAAATTCAGCCTTTGAGCTCCCAGGCCTGTGTGCTGTGGGGGTCTCCAAGGCCTCCATTCCTCCACTAGAGGCAGCAGTTTTCAAGACTTGACTATTTAATTTGAGTCTTATACCCATATAGTTAATAACATCCTCAGAGAGCCACTTTTTTGTTTGTTTGTTTGTTTGAGATAGGACCTTGCTCTGTCGCCTAGGCTGGAATGTGGTGCAATCACAGCTCACTGGCTCACTGCAACCTCAAACTTCTAGGCTTAAGCGATCCTCCTTCATCAGCCTCCCAAGTAGTTGGGACCACCGGCATGTACCACTATGCCCAGCTAATTTTTTATTTTTTTTTTATAGAGACAGGGTCTCCCTATGTTGCCCAGGCTGGTATCAAACTCCTGAGCTCAAGCAGTCTTCCTGCCTGGGCTTCCCAAAGTGCTGGGATTATAGGTGTGAGCCACTGCACCTGGCTGAGAGCTACTTGTTGATTTTTTGCTTTAGGCCTTATCTGTGGACTTGTCACTATGGAACGTCTCTCACCACCATTGCTACTTCTCACCCCCAAAACCTCCATACTCTTCCACCCACTCCTCCCAGTATCATTATTCCAAATTTTGTATAGGATGATATTCAGCATTCAGATTAATATTACTTTGTAAATGCTATACACAATTGAGCCAAATAGAATACTATGATTATGCATTTTTTTTTTCGCAAGGCCTTTTGTTTTCTCTGGAGTATAAATCTATGTTTAAATCTTGTAAGTTTAAAGGTGTTCCTCCACTCCTGAATTGTAAAACTGTTCCCCCATGTGTAAATACATTGGTCTCATTATTTAAAAATTGTGATATAACCTAGATACAGTGCACACCTGTAAGTATACTACAGCTCCATGAACTGCCACTCATGTTTATACCTTGTCTTCACCACACAAATCACGACGTAGTACCTTTCCTGGTTTCATTTTCTTTTTTTTTTTTTTTTTTTTTTTTTTTTTCTTTTGCAGGCTAAAGTGCAATGGTGCAATCATAGCTCACTACTATGACAATCAAATAATGTAATACATGTAAAATCCCTATATAAAATGTTACAACATTATTTAAAATCATTATTTTAAGACTAACAATGTTATAACACAATA